GACAAAACATGTCAAATAAGACTTCAGTAAAATCCTCAATACAATTAAAATAAAATATCCTTTACATCAATTTGCATCAAGAAAAAAAGACAGAGACATTTTATAATATTAAAGTTTATTTTCATTGACCAATACAACATAAATAACATACACTTATTAAATACATAGGCTAACTATGACATAAATGTCACCAAAGTTCTAATGCACTTTTCATAGCCGCATTTATTCTTTTTCTATACAATATTGAAAAGCAACCTTTCAGATACACTGGAAGATGTATTTAAATACACTAACGATAAGTATCCAGAAGACTTTACACAGAGGTGACAAAATACACCGTCCACTAATCCAACATGTATCGATGGGATGTGGAGGAAACACGGAAAACCACATGGTTTCTGTATAAATAAAGTGTCAGTGATTGTGATTCTTCAGGCATACTCAGTAATTAGTACTGATACACATTTGTTGTACATAAAGACAAACAGCACCTGTTTTTAATTTTTCAAAATTAGCTTTAGGCTATTTGTATGGAAATGTTTGTTTACAAAAAAAATAGAGTAGGTAGGATTCTTTCTCTCTCTCTCTCTCTCTCTCTCCTTCTCTCTCTCCCTCTCCCTGGTGCCTTCTCTCTTCCCTCCTGCCCTCTCATGCAGGTGAGTCTGAAGGCTCAGAGTTTAGCAGTCAATGATGACCTAAATGAACTTATCACTTGATTTCACAGGAAAGAGCCTTGACCACTTCTATTTTATTCCAGTGATGCTCAAGAGTACAAGGATGAACACAGTCTTCCTTTACTTTTATTTCAGAGATCTTACCTAAGAAGATGGAAACTATAAGTAAAGTGGAAGTGGACAGAGTTTACATCATTACCCTCTCTATGTTGCCTATCCCACCTCCCTCTTTGTATCCTTTCAAAAGAAAAAAAAAGAAGCATATCAGTAAATCACAGGCATTTCCACTATGTAACATTGGAGTTTTGACATTTACAGAAAGTGGAATCTGGGTAAGCAAACCATTTTCAAGTTAAGCTTAAAGTTTGAAAATTGACTACCTTTCAGCTAAGTCTCTGATTTGCTTTAATTGAAGGATCAAACTATTCTACTGCAAAAACATTCAACAACAGAATTTAAGAGCTGTACATCTGAAAATAACTTGAGAGGTAAGATCAACTTCAAAAGGCTCAAAAAGCATGGAATGGCTGATTGGTTATGATAAAATTGTTCCATCAAAGCAAATTTATCAAAATCAGATTTGGACTATTTCATCTATTAGACATGGTTCTCTCTCTTAAAAATAATCTGTTTCACCAATAACAAATATTTCTGTTACTTTCCTTCTCTAGAAGAATGGATAGGTAGATTAGAGTTAAGGGAAGTAGGAGGAAGAAGTCTAGTTCCCAACAATATCAACAACAATAACATAAACACATACATACATATATATGCACATATATTTAGCTTAGAAGATATGTGTTTTTTCCTTAATCTTTTGCAAATCTTTTAAAAATAATTTTCATTCTCAGTAAATAAACCATGTGACATATAAATGAGTATGATATATATACAAACACATTGCATTTCTAGGGAAATATACTATATTCTATTTACAGTATTATAATGTAATGGTATATAATTAAACTTGCATAAACCTATAAATCTCTAAATAAAGTCTCCATTTTAGAAACCATGAAGCTAAATATATGGAAGTATTTGCACAAATTAGCTGATTCATGCTTCATATGCAATCTTTAATTACTTGTTTCCTTTCGGTGCTAAATTGATGACAACTGCCTAACAGATATATATGCAAGTCAAGGCTGCTTGTTAAGTTTTAAAATGTGGCTCCCTTGTAACCTTGTCATGAGACACCACAGACATGTCTGCTGTCATCAACTGTTTATTGCAACTGCTAAAATAGTCCTGTGGAATTAGCTACAGTTGCATAATTCTGCATGTATATTTAAATGTCAGTTTTGACACATTTTAAGACATACAAAAACCAAAATAAGCTTTTGGGATGAATAAAATGTATATTTTAATTACTCAAATTAAAACTTTTATATTTTTGTAATAATGAATACCTGTCAATCACTATATCCTTCATCAACTATTTAATATATTTCAGGAGAAGCTTTCAGGGTTAAGTTATTAAAATAAGTAGGAAGTACATATCTGAAATATTCAAATAACAGATATTTTTCCTGTCTCTGGTTTTATATCATTCCAAAAGAACTACTCAGTAAGTGTTGATGTCGGGAATGATGACAGTTGATGACTAATTTGGGGTCAAAAACCATAAAAGAATAAAACATATAACATTCACCATACATTTTTGTCTGGAAAATAAACTGCTATTGGAGAGCATGGCATCATTTCCTTCCATAGCAAAGCCCATTTTATAAATTAATTATTTGGAAAATCATTGAGACCTGCAATTTTAAATATAATTATCAATTCGTTTAAGTTTAGGAATTGTCATATTTTATGTACATATTTTCCCAACTCAAACATGCCTGGCCAAACAAAGCATGTGAGAATAAATGCTAAGATCAATAAGCTTACCAGACAGTCTATTCTGTGAAACTACAGATGAACACCAAGAGCTGTACACAGCACCCTTTTTGTGTAACCTAATCATCACCAAGTGCTGACATCACTGGGATTTTTACTCTGATTTGGTTTTGTCCAGACTAATAAATGGCTGTCCAAATAACAACATCACTTACCATTAACATAACTTCTTCTTTTTCAACATTCTTTTAGATTTTGTTCTAAAACTGTAATTCTTTCACTTCATCCCTGTGTGCCCTGGACAGGAATTCATTTTTTAGCTAAGGATATGTTTCAGGATCATTTGTCTTTTGTACTTCCTTGATTTAATGAACACTGATTTTTTTTTTAAGAATAATGCCCATCACCATTTGGAATCCTAAATTATTAATGCAATGAAGCACTTTGCCCTCTAACAAGATGACACTACACCTTTGAAGATAAGCTTATCTTTAATAAGCACAGATTATTAAATTCATCACCTTGAAAATTGTGTTTGCACAAAATGCATCAACCACATGATGTGTGCCTTATGAATTTGTAGTCATTTTTTTATTTATTCTTCCACTTAAAAAATATATTTAATAGACAATTGCTACATTCCAGCTGATATACTAGATACTGAAAGGAATAACCTATTTTCATATCTCTCATGTCCACACTATGTAAACAGTTATGTATTATAATCTAGTATCAGAGGACTACAAAATGGTAAAACCCCTCAATTGCAAAGTCATTTTAATGCATTGTTCTTTCGTGAAAAGACGTATTTTTGTCTTAAAAGCCACTGAGTAATCTTTTAGGATAATCCAATTATATAGCATAGAGTATTATAATGGATTTTACTATGGGTTATTTCTCATATTTTCCATAATTTGTATTGGTGAAAGAACCATAATAAACTACATGAGCCCTCTCACCAGATATTATCTCATTCAATTTTGGTGTACATAATAACGAAATAGATACACTGTACATAATAAAATAAATTTTTCTTCAGGTGATTGCTAAATACAATAAAACACATAGCTACTATAAGGAGTATAAATAAATTCCAATATTTGAAAAAAACTAAAACAATACCAAAATAAATTGGGAAGTAAAAAAACAATAATAAAATACATATTTTTACAAAATGAATGCACCAAAGAATTTCACAAGCATTTTGAGCAGGCTTAACCTAAAGGATCACTGTGTTTGGAAGAATGTTTTTAAAAGTTCAATTCCCAAAATAAAACGTTATGACATCCTCGTTTTACAAAGGTGTCAAGCTTGGCAATCAATAATTACATTTGCGTGAGATAAAGAAAATATTATCAAAATTATTATTTCACTATATAATTTTAAATAAGTAATGCTATTTTATTAATAAATATCTGGTTAGAGATACTTCAGATAGACAGCAGAGAGTGTAAGGCATCAATATTACTCATCTTCTTATCCTATTGTTAGGTCTAACTATGGAAAGTCTTCATTGCACAATCAAAATATTTGTTTTAGAATCAATGTTGGTATTTGAAGATCCCAAATGACTAGAGTAGCTGTTTTGGAGAAAATCAAAGGAAATATTTCATCAGAGTATCTATATTTAGTGCCCAAATCAATCCTGAAATAGCATTCTGAAAAAAGATCACTTCACTGATTCTCACAGATCAGTTTCATGAATCTCCTCAAGGCTTACAGGAATGCAAGATGTACTGAGATGAAAGAATATTCAGCAAGTTGAGTAGTCACAAACTCTACCATATTTGAAATAAATGTAGTAAGTCCTTCTCAGATAAGGAACCAACCTAGTTTCCAACCTGACCAATCAATTTTGGAAGGGTAGTAACCAACTTGGTATATTGAGCAATACTTAAATAATATCACTATCAATTATTATTGTGAATATATAATACATATTTCTGTCCTAATTAAACTTTTAATGTAAGAGCAAAAATATAATAACAAATGAAAACTGGGAGACAATGAAAGAGAACACACAAGACCAATGTCCTAGAGTGAAAGCAAAGTACTATCCCCTTGTCTCCAATGATATGTGGGGTTAAATCCTTCATGTACAAACTATGCCAAGAACATAAATAAAAATGATTTCATCACATAAATAACCACATATTCAACTGCATATGGCAGGGATTCAAAAACCACTAGACTGTTATTAATATGTTTTCTCTTGTTTATGTTTCAGTATTTTTGGCACATAAAGGATTATCTATGTTTCTGAAATCATTTAGCATTATACCAAATATTCCACATTGTTGGATAAACACTGGCATGCCAGATATGTTCAAATTCACAGTATTTAGGGATCTTTGTTGCCAAAAGCTATGAACATGTCAGTTGATTAAGTGTTCTCTTTCATGCTCCTGTCTGTATAATTTCATTAGATAATGAGATAGGCTGCCCTTTCTGTCCATCATTAGAGCAGCTGGAGACAGCATTTGCTACCTGGCAAAACTTTCGAAGAAGGATCTTTCTTAGCAGCAGATAAACCCAGGGATCCAATATTTGGTTCAGTGAAGCCAGGCGAACAGCTATCAAAAAGAAGTTGCACTCTTTCTGTTTTCCTGTGTGTGTCTTGCAGTGCTCAACAGATGTCTGATTGAAGATCATTTTCAACATCATTATCTAAAAAAGAAGAACAAAAGTCATTAAGGTTCTATATATATTTATATGTACCCACACAGTACTCTAGAGAGTACTACTCTTCAATCAATCACTCAACTGAAATGTTAATTACAGCAACATTTAGACTCACAGAACACATCTGTAAGTTTTATATTGCTTTGGATTTTTCCCATATTTTGATTGTTCAACTTGATGCAACTTTTTAAAAAACACACATATTCTCAGTCTTGGTCTTTCAAATGTAATAAGCTTGAAAATACATTTATGAGTATGGTGCTGTGTTTGTGTTTGAATAAATAAACATTTGTGAATTAATATTTAAGATCAACACAAAAGAGAAAATTGAAAGTTCATAAACATATAAAAAAGTCAAATTCAATAATCACCATACAAAATGTAAATGATAACAAAATAAGCTGTTTTATACCTAATGGCTTGATCAAAATGATTATGACTGCATCAAATTTGAATGAGGATGTAGAACACAATTAGTGGGAATGTGAACTGCGGCAAACTGAACAAACTGCATTATTGCATTTGTTTTGTCCTAGTAGCACCAGTTGTGGAAATGCTTTGCCTAGACTTATTGTTCCAGCAGTTGAATCTACAAACTGTTTCCGACAGCCTGGGCCATAACGGCAAAAGAAACAGAAGTGACAGTGGTTCACATTTGCAAGAAAGGAAAGGAAAGGAACTAAGTTTTTAACTAATTTCTAAAATCATCCTTCCAGATGTACACGGATGTGGAGTGCTTGAAATGTTCCTGGATTGCACTGAGATGTCAGAATATCTAATATATTCATAATATATAATAGTATTTTTGCAAATCATAATAAATTTATCACAAAAATTCAAGTCACTGCATTTTATTCTTTTGAAGTGTGTACTACTAGCAAATTGAAAATTATTCATGTGGTTTGCATGTGTTGTTTACTGTACATTTTTGTTCAGCCCATTCTTGAGGCTCATCATTACGAGCATTCAGGATGCTTAGGTCATATACCCAAACTGAATTCAACTGCCTTAAACATACAAACAAAACACTGCTAACAACACACTTTCAGTACTGGTGCTTTCTTAAAATTCTCCTGATACAGCCATTTAGAGTAAGAGGCATCTTCCCTGATGTATTTAGCTTATTCCATTCTCACCCTCATTCAGATCTCTTCTCATTTAAATCAAAGCAGTAACAGACATCTGGGTGGCACATTTGTGGACTGAATTCTGTGTCCTGTCCCTCAAGAATGTCAACACAGACTGAGTTTCCTAAATGTCAACTTTGAGAAAATCTTCTCCAACAACAGAAGCACTTGCATTTATTCCAGTATACCAAGCAAAAATTCAACTCTGGAATCCAAAGATTTTCCCTTTTGGGCTTCGATGTATCTTTCCAATCTTGTCTGCTACTACTAGCCTATACAAAATCTCAACTCTCAACTCATTCATCTAGAACATCATTTTATTCTCTCTTTTCTACGTCTTTATTCTTTTTTTTTTTTCTACCTCAGGAAATTTTTGAATCCTAGTAAACATTTCTACTTCTATGTCTTTCAAGGTTACATTAGTTTTGCGGTTTTTTTTTTAAGATTTTACTTATTTTTATTGGAAAGGCAGATCTATAGACAGAAGAAGAGACAGAGGGAAAAATCCTCCAACCATTGATTCATTCCCTAAGTGGCCTGGCAGCTGGAGCTAGACGGCTGGTAGCCAGGAGCTTCTTCTGGGTCTCCCATGTGGGTGCAGGGTCCCAAGGCTTTAGGTCATCCTCTTCTGCTTTCCCAGGCCACAAGCAGGAGCTGGATGGGAAGTGGAGAAGCTGGGACAGACAAGAATCCATGCCCATTTGGGATCCTGGCACATACAAGGCGAGAACTGTAGCCACTAGGCTCTCACACTGTGGTCCCATCATTTTTTTTTTTTACTTACCATTATGAATCATTGTCCTCCAAAGACCTACAAATTGTGTGTGTGTGTCCAATATACAAGCACATATTAATAGGCAGATATCATATGTCCCTCAGAATCTTGGATATGAGAATAAAAATGGGCCTTATGAGTTAGGATGGATATAACCTCAGTAGACAAATACAAAGTTAGTGAATCTGACTGCAAGCAAATGAGCCAAGTATTGACATGATAGAATCTGTTTGCTCTAGGAAATCTAATAAGTGGGCTTGTAATTTTCTACTGTTAGCAAAATGGATTCCAATAGTGAGATCAAAGATGCAATTGATCTTATTAGCATTCTGTTTAATGTTAGTAAATATTTGATTGTTTTCATTCTCCATGTCCTGGGTCTTTTTCCACAGAACTAATAATGACTGGTCCCACTACTGGTAAGTCCACAGGAAGGAATAACTTAGAAGATTTTTGGTGTAGTCAGTTGGAGCCTTCATTTTATTTTACAAACACAGATGAGAGTGCTTCAAAAAAGTTACTGGGAAATGGAATTAAACACATTTTGTTGGGAAAAAAAAATTCAATACCCCTACATATATACAGTTCTTGAAAACACTTATGTTAATTATGAAAAAACTGTGAGTAAATTTCAAGGAGTTTTGGTACTAAAACAAACCTATTTAGATTTTATTTTCTATGGGCTTTTAAAAACACGATTTTATACTAAAGAGCAGGTGGCCAGGTAAGTAGACAGCAAAGAGAGGGATGGGAAAATTAACCAAAAATCCTACAAATCAGTGCAAATACTTGCCTTTAAAGTCATTCTCCTTTTGCCTTGCTGAATCACAATATACTCTCCAACTGCACACTAGCAAAGGCAACAAGGACTCCCAGATCTCATCTGTCTTATAGCACAAATTTGTGCTCTGGGGCTGGATCCATAGTCCTTGGCCAAATTCCTACCTAATGGCTGAAGAATTATTGTTCTATAAACAAATCAGAGAAGAATGGATAGGCAATCAGTAGACAGCCCTATTTTCTGACTGTAATGTCATTCACAGAAACTTGTCTGAGGAATGTATTCTATAAAAGCACAAAAAAGCTCCACAGTAAACAAATGCTCAGAGAATCATTATCCAAACAAGCCAGAAATTTCAAAAATATACATTTGTAGCATTGGGTGTGAAATTTGAGAAGCTCAAATAATTCATATACTAGTAAAATAAGAGTTAAATTACAATATAAAATAGCTATATAGTTATTAATTATGTTATATCAAGTATAGACATGTAGAACACAATGAGATGATGCCTGTTAAATAATCAGTCGCTACCCAACAAAATAATACCTAAGATTGCATGTGTATAACAATTCAAATGAGCTAAGAAAGCCTTTTATTTAAAATGAATGACTATTTCCTTTATTAATAAACATACAGTACTATAAATCAACTTTAAAATAGACACACTGTATTATAAATAATATATAAAAATAGAAAAATTACATATGTTTATTATTTTTTATTATTTTCATCAGAAAGGCAGATATACAGAGAGACGGAGAGACAGAGAGAAAGAGGTTCCATCTGCTGGCTCACTCCCCACATGGCTGCAAATCCATCCTCTACTGAGTTCCCAAGCCACAAGCACAGAGCTGGATCGGAAGTGGAGCAGCCAGGGTAGAAACAAGTGCTCAAGTTTGATCCCTGTGCATGCAAGGCTAGGATTCAGCCACTAGGCCATCACGCTGGGATCATAAGGTATTTATAATATATAATTTATTATCTTCTGATGTTGGTTCATAGCCCTGTTCACTTTCATTGCAGAAGGAAGGACAATAGCACCTGCACAAAATCAGTCATTTCCAATACAAAGGACCTTTGACTTTATTTCTGCAAATGCCAAAAAGGACTTTGATATGATTAAGCCTGGGGACTCTGGGATGAGGACACCATTCTAGATTATATGGATAGGCCCAAAGTAACCATCACCGTCTTCAAAATCAGAAAGCTCTTCTAGCTGACTAGAGAGAATAGCTGGAAGGATACAATGTTGTCTACTTTGAAAATGGAGAGGAGAGCCAAGAGCTAAGGAATGTAGAGGAATTCCTCTAGGAACTCACAAATTCAAAAAAAGTGATGTTTCCTTAGAGTTCCAGACAGCAAGGTAGCTCTGTAGGCATTGTGTTGTTGGCCCAGGAGGACCAATATCAGATTGATAACCTATGGAACCAAAGAGAAATGTCTTTGCTTTTAAGCCACCAAATTCATAGAAATGTCAGCAGTGGTTGAAAATTGACAAATCCACACAGTGAACTTTCAACACAGATTGAAAGAAAGCAAAGAATGAACTTAAAAATGAATTTATTTTCCTACAGGAGAAATATCCTAGCAAGACTGCTTACATTGCTCACTTTGTTATGAAAAAAATTTTTTTACTATAAACCTAGTAAAAATAAACTTAATCCTCACTCATTTCCTAACTTACAACATGGAAAAATGAGTGCCTGTTTTTGCAGTGGCATCAGTTAGATTTCAGTGTGTTTGCCTAAAAGGCATAAAATCAATACTTTCAACTTAGTTGTCTTCATGACAAATGAATGTTCACTAATCTTATATAAAGTTGTCTCTGGTTGCTAATTCATCCAGAACTTAATATTTGACTATTTACCATCTTCAGGAAGTATGCTATAGAATTGGTTTGAAATTATCTAAAAATTTGCCTAAATTACATTTTCTTTTTCTTTTTTGTTTTTAATTATTTTTTTTTATTCTCCATGATACAGTTCCACAGGCTCCTACATTTCCCTTCCCCTCTCCTCAAATCCCCACTCTCCTCAGTGATTTCCCCCATATCATTACAATAGTATAGCCCTTTACAATCAATCGTAAGTCCATCATTCTGCTATTTAAGTGTATCCTGACATTGTAGGCATGGGCAATGGCAGAGGGCTTAGCATGCTGTTGTCAAGACACCTTCAACAGTTTCATTGGGAGTCCATCTTTGATTTTTAAGTAGAGATACACTCAGCCATTAAAAAAAAAATGAAATCCTACCATTTGCAACCAAATGGTTCCAACTAGAGACCATTATGCCCAATAA